GAGAGTGGTGTTTTTGTCTTTGATGTGGGGTACAGTAGCACAGAAAGACCCTGAGCAATTTGGACCCAGTCATCTTGGGTGCTGTACAACCCCTAGCAAACAACAGTCCCTCTTCCAAAGACCCTGTGGGCTTAGCTGAGGATGAGAAACAACAGATGGAAAAACATGCCAAAGATGGGGTGGACCTCCCTGAATCTGAGCAAGACTCAGCTGGAGACAGGCCTGGCCTCAGAGCTCGCAGTCTGGGAGCCAAATCTGGGACCTAGACTCAGAGGAACAAGCCCTGCTCCCACAGAAAGATATCAGAGCTGGCGGAGGGGGCGACGGCAGGCTCACAGCCAGGAAGACAGGCCTAGAAAAGCTGAGAAGGAACAGGGGATCACTTGGATTTATTTATGCCCTTTCTCTCTGCCTCCCTTGTTACATCCCAGTGTATTTAACAAGAGCCCCATCTGAATCCCACTGACATCCAGAGAAAGACCCCGCCGCCTGCCATGGTGTTGGGCCCTGGCTGCTCATGACAATGTAGGGTGAGCTGCAGCGTAGACCCTACCCCTTGCTCCAGGTGTTCGTCTGGATGAACTAGGAGGACATGTGGCAGGCCCAGTACGAGGGAAGACCTCAGGCAGGATTTCTCAGAGGAGTCCTTCCAGGGGCAAGGAAATGATGCTGTGTTCAGTAACGGCAGTGGAGTCTATGGGGGTGTCTGCCCCCACTTCTTAGGTGGCCAGGCCAGCGTGGTGGACTTCCACCCTGCTATCCCAGTGAGCCTGGGGGGAAAGCCATCCATACATCGTCTCCCTCGCCTGTTGGCCAAGGACACGAGGGCCACATAGTCAGGCCAGATGCACCTTGGCTGCAAGTACAATGGGGCCCACTACAAATGCCCTTGTTGTCTCCCAGGGATGTGCCATCACTGCGTGCCGAGCGCCCTTTGCTGTCTCTTCCTCCTGCCGCACATCACCAGTGTGGGGAGCTCCGGTGAGCTCATCATCCCTCCACTCCCAGCTTCCCTGACACCGTGTGCTCGCGGGCCCCGCAGCACTGAGTGATGCCAAACAGCAGCAACTGGGGAGAGAAAGAAACACGGAAAGAGGCGGTTGAGAGAAGCCCAGAGGAGACTGCAAACTTCATGAAGACAAATCTAATGAGCTGGAAACTGGCAGGCGAGCAATGATTTGCCAAGCGACAATTAAAATCATTTAAGTGAAACGAGGGCTCTGTATATCAGGATGAACACCCCGTGCAGAGGGATGTCTGCGTTGCTTCCATGCAGAGCAGGGCCTGGAGAAGGATTTGGGTTTGTTTTGTTTCTTCCGCCCTGTTTAATTCTTTCCTGATATCTCAGTAGCTTGGGCCTGGACAAGGCAATAAGAGGGCTACAGAGGGCTCACAGCAAACCCCAAACCTCTTTCACTCGGGTGTGTGAATGCTTCCTTGCACGCTCCTGAACTCAACTGGCTACCGCCGAAGATCTGGTCAAGACAGGACATCCTACAACCGGATGAACTGGGGCTGGACCCGATGATCTTCCGAGGTCCCTTCCAGTCTATGAATAAAAAACCCAATTATTGCACGTTAGCGACCTCTCCAGGAAGACCCCACCTTTCCAGTGGTCAAGACAAAGCCACTGGCATCTGAAGGCAAATCCACCCATGTGCTTCCCTAGCAGTGGGTCCAAGCTCCTATTCTGCCCCGAGGTTTAGTCGGGAGAGCGTACCAGTGACACGGGCACGCGCGTCTCTGTGATGAATGATCAGTGACTCCCGTGACCAGCATTGCTGCTCCACGCGAACGGACGGATTGCATTAGCACAGAGGCAGCGAGCAGCACACGGTTAATAGCTCCTTTCTCTGCATGACATTGCTTTACACCGATAACACCTGAAGAGAGATTATAGTGTCTTTCAGACACTCATAAATCTCCCTCTGAAGCCGCGTAATCAGTTATTATTAGCTGCGGTTTCAGACTCTAATTATAAAGCTGGTAGTTTGGGGTGGCTTTTTATTTTTTTCTTCCCCTAATCCAAATCATATTAAATATTTATTTAATGTTTAATGGCCTGGTTGCCTTGCAATATTGTGCTGCTATTATTGCTTATTATTATTTGCTGTTTATAAAAGGCTCTAACCACAGCTACTGCTAAGGCATCTCTTCCTCTCCTTTACTTCCTTCCTTTCTTGCCATTCTTTGTTACCTATTTACCTAGCTAGCTGAAAAGCTATGGGCACTGTCTCCCTTCCACACCAGTCTGCAGCAGTGCATTTGGGGGTTGAGACTCTCAAACCAGTGTCACTCCGGAGCCCCGCTGCTGTGTGCAAGAGTACTAGGCACCTGTAGTGCACAGGAAAAGTCCATAGCCCACAAATCTGCCACCCCCCACCAAACTAGCTCACCCAGAAAAGCCCTGACACACCCCCCGACATGCCCCCAGCACACCCCTGACGCACCACCCCCACGTCCCTCCCAGAAACTAGCTCGCCCAGGAAAGCCCAAACATGCCACTGACACACACCCAGCACACCCCTGGCACGCCCCTGACATGCCCTGGCTGCACTGGGGGAGAACTGGGGGCATGTCAGGGCTTTTCTGGGTGAGCTAGTTTTTGGGGGGAGTGTGGCAGTGTGTCAGGGGTGTTCTGAGGGTGCGTCAGGGGCCTCTAGTTTCCGTGGGGGCGTGGCAGAGATGTGTCAGGGGTGTGCTGGGGGTGTGTCAGGGCTTCTGTGAACCCTTCGATTTTTTTGTGGGGGCGTGGCGGGGGTGTGCTGGGGTTGAGGCAGAGGTGTGCTGGGGATGTGGTGGAGGTGTGCTGGGGGCATGTCAGGGCATTTGTGAACCCTCCGATATTTTTGGGGGGCGTGGCAGGGGTGTGCTGCGGGAAAGTCAGGGGCGTGTCGGGGGCGTGTCAGGGCTTTTGGGAATCCTCCGATTTTCCTGGGGGGTGTGTCGGGGGTGTGTCTGGGGCAAGTCAGGGCTTGTGTGAATCCTCCTTTTTCCGCCACGGCATGTGCTTGCCCCGCTCGTGGAGATGCCCCTCGCTGCTTAGGCCCAGTTGTGTGTCTGGTGTTTGTATCCCCAGAGGAGACCTTCCTCCTCTCCCCTTCCCTTCCCTCCATTGCTGGGGTGATGCTGAGCCCCTTCAGCCAAGGACAGACTCCCCCACCCCGATGCACACTGGCACCTCGCACCCCAGGGGTGGCGATGAGCCAGGACAGCTCTTCCTCCCCAAGCCACACTCTCCGATTCAGCCGGGCTGTGACCCCATTGGGCCACCCGCTCACCCCTCAGTCCTACCCCCCGCGGCAGGGCCTGAGCCCGCCCTGACCCCCGCAGCCCTCCACCCAGACACAGGGTGCGGACTTTGGCCTGCGCCCCATCTGCTGCAGCTCAGCGACTCTGCAGGGAAGGGTAATCTGTGCCTCAGCCTCCCGCAAGTGCTTGGGAGAAGGGGTAGCTGCTGGAAGCAGACGTGGGCCGTGCGGCTGGGTTGCAAGTCTGCAAACCCCTTCCCGCAGTTGCATGCGAGGGCAGAGCTCCAGGCTCCAGCTGGTGCCAGAGGCTGAACACGGCCTACCTGCTCGGGGTCTCTTGGATCCTGCATTTTAAGAACAAAGCCACACACTTCCCAATCTTTATTCCCCACTTTGCATGTAACAACACACCCTGCCTTGCTCCTCTGCTGCCCTCAGCCCCAAGGGCACCTGCAGTCCATGGAGCAGGGCTGAGCGAGGGAGGCAGCAAGGCAAGGAGGAAACCAGGAGGCTGGGGGCTATGTGCAGGGCATGTCGTGGGTAGGTGTGACTCCAGCTCCCAGAGGCACCCCTGAGCTCTTCCACCCATTGCCTCGGCCCACGGGCTCTTCTGGGGATCTCCCCTGAGTGCAGCTCTGGAGTCGGGAGGCTTCGAGCAGAGGATTTCTCCGCAGGGGCGATGGCGTTTGCACTGTCCTCCAGCTGGAAAGGCAAGGCAGGAGCAGGCAGCACACCTACAAAGCCAACAGCTCGCACCCACCTTGCCATCCACCCTGCCTGCAAAGTCAGTCCCCAAAACGGGCATCCTCCCCTGAGGGACGTGTGGCCGGAGGGTCACCGGAGCAGTGGGGGTCACTTAGGCCCGGCCCCTTCTTCTGGCCCGTGTCTCCACAGCCAGGGTCGGCTTCTCCAGGTGGCCCTTTGCAGTGCTTCTAGGTCTGCTCAGAGGAATGAGAAAACAGCAGATTGAGTGCAGTGCTCTGGGCCGGGGGCCAGCGTGTCTCCCAAGGGCCAATGCTGCTGCTGGCACAGGGGTCAAAGCCCCATTGCATTGGGGTCCCTTTGGCAAGCACAGCGAGGAGGCTGGGTCCAGCTCCCCTAGGCCTCGGCTACCCGCACAGACACATCTTTTCCCACAATAAGCCATTCTTGTGGTAATGGGAAAGCCCTGCTCTCCCTGCATCCCTCCAGCTGCCCGGCCGTGACGCTGCCACCGGCATGAGGGTGACACTGATGCACGTGTCCTTCACGTGCTAAAACTGCAGCCCTGTGAGGAGTGACTTTGGGCAAGGTCTCAGTGTCTACGGCCCCAGGCTTGCAGGCACTAGGTTTTATCGGGAGCATGGTGGAAATCTGTTCTCCACCCCACTCTGCAGCCCTGCTGAGGTGCTGCTTTCACCTCTTCCCAGGGATGAAGGGGGAGCTTGTCTGTCTCTGCTGCACCTGGGGAGACCCCAGGACAGCTAGGGAGGCTGGGGTGTCTTCAAGCAGTGTGCAGGTCCCAGCTCTGCTTTGTTTCTGCAACCCCCCCAAGTATCTTGCCCCAATTTCCCACTGTTAGCAATGTACCTAAGGGAAGGGAGAGCCAGGGTGGATGTGCATGAGGCTGGGAAGTTAGGCCCCTTCTGTGAGCCAGCACAACTCACCTCAATGCTGTGATAAATCCAGTCCAGGAATTCAGCCACCTTGGTGTAGACGCCTGGGTGGTTGGGCTCTGCGCAGCCCGTGCCCCAGCTGACGATGCCCACGAGGCGCCAGACAAGGTCGTCCGGGCAGACCAGAGGTCCACCGCTGTCTCCCTGCAAACAGAGCGTGGGTCAGTGGGTCGCTTCAAATCTAGGAGTCGATGCAGCATTGAGCTCTCCACCTGTACGGGCAATTCCCCGCGCAGCAAAGGCAGCGTGTGCCCTCTCCAGGGACACGCATGCCATGCTGTGCTGTGCTCCTACTTGCTCCGAATCTCTCCTTGCTCTTACCTGGCAGGCATCCACCTTCCCATCCAAGTAGCCGGCGCACAGCATCCTGGGGCTGAGCTCACCCGAGTACATGCAGGACCCGTTGCATTTCTTGGCGCTGATCAGGGGGACGAGGGCTTCCTTCAGGGTCTCGGCAATGTGCGCTGGGGAGGGGGGGAACCAAGGCAGGGGCTGACCCCAGCTCTGCGCTGTGTGTGAGGCCTCCATGATACGGACAAGGGCACATGCGGCGCTCGCTGTCCGAGCTCGGAGCAGGTGGTGGGGGCAGGTGACTAGGCTGAAGCAGAGGATGGGGGCAGGCAATGCCAGGCTGGTGCAGGAAGGAGACATGGGGCTGGGAGATGGAAGAAGGGTCCTGAAGCCTGGCTGTGTGAAGAGGGGCAGAAGAGCTGGCCTGGGGGGCTGGGACAGGCCAAATCCTGCTCCTGCTCCCCCCACAGCTGCTCACCGTGCCCGGGCTGGGTGTATCCCCAGCCAGAGATCCAGCATGCAGTGCCTGCGAGGAGGTCCTGGTGGTACGGCGGGAGGCACACGGCGTGGACAGCATCTGAGGAGACAGCCCCGGAGGTTCCTGCAGTGCCAGCCTGGGCCGGGCCCTCCCAGGGGCAAGAGCCCCAGGGCTGGCGGGTCCAGTGGGGCCTGGCTGGTGCATGCACGATGTGTGCATTGTGTGGGACCCCCAATGGTAGGTCCTGCACAGACCCCAGCACCAGCGCCCTCCCGGGATGTCCCCCTGGTCCTCACCCGAGAAGCGCAAGGGGGTGCGGAGCTTGACCAGCGCGATGTCGTAGTCGTGGCTGCTGTCGTTGTAGTGGGGGTGGGAGAGGATGCTCCCCGGCATGGCCCCAATTGCCTGCCAACCCACGGCCTGCGTGACCAGCCCGGCGAAGACCTGCCACCGGGAGACCGGCAGGTGCCTGTAACTGAGCAGATACACTCCCGCCCGTCACCCCGATGCAGGCAGGAAGGGAGAGACGGGCGCATGGGGAGGCCGGGCTGGGCCGGGCTCACCTGTGCACACAGTGAGCGGCTGTGACGACCCACTCGGGTGCCACCAAGGAGCCCCCGCAGAGGTGCTGGGCGTCCAGGTGCAGGCTGACCTGCCAGGGCCAGCGGCCTGGTGCCGCATCGCTTCCGCCGATGACCCGTGCATCCCGGGCACGCGCCCCGCACTCTGCCAGCAGCCAGGAGACCGGTCAGCATGGGCGAGGGATGCCCTGGACCCCCAGGGGCAGAGGGAGCAGAAGGCTGAGATGCTCCAGCTCTGCACGTGGCTATGGCTCGGAGAAGGCACGCGGATGGTGGGCTCTGCCCACTGGGAAGCTGACTTTCCCCATGCCGTGCCAAGCTGCTCCCCAGGCCTGGGGCTGCCCCCCAGGGAGCCTGAGACCAGAGGGCAGGGAGATGGATCTGGGGCACTTACCAGAGCACTTCAAGGCCACGATGCGGCCGGACTCGCAGCCGTGCCTGCATGGGGGCAAATGCACCATCAGCAACCGCAGCGCTGCTGTAGCAGAAAGCCCCCTTTTCCTCTTGCCTGCATTTGCTCTCCCCTCTTTGGATATGTTTCTCTTTTTCTACCTTTTCTTCCTTCCTCTCTCTTTCACTTTAAGATAAGGAATTGTGTTTTAAAATGTGTATGTGTGCATTTTGTATCTCCCCTTGTAGTTTGGTATTTTTATCTATTTGTGTGCCATGGCATTTGTAGCTTATATTTTATACTC